ACCGGCCCGGTTCATCCTCTCTAGTCACCAGCATCAAATCCGAGTATATAAAAACCGTGACCTGAAGGGAGACAGACATTTTAGCTGACTAAAAATGTGTATAAACGTGTATAAAGAGTGTATAAATGTTCATTTGAAGAGCTTATAAATCATTTATTTAGACATTCTGAATGATCTTAACAACCACAGCTACTCCTAAATAACTGCTTTGTAAATGATGCAATACTTAATTTAGTAGCAAGAAATACAATCAAGCAGTCAAAAATACAGCATTTGTAGCTGTAGTTATAAACTGCCTACAATCGTCTAGTCATGTAGACTTAATGCTGTACAAATTATTAACAATTTGCTAATGCTTATTAAATGATTAATAGAGTGCGGTTATTATAAAGTGTCACAAACTTTTCTCATTGTGATCTCCACTGTGAACAAAAGCAGGTCATGAAGCAGAAGTTTTAGTGTGTCTCGTCAGGTGACAGGCTTGTTGCTGACACTGTTTTCTGCCTCCGTCACATGCAATATACTGTGGCTTGCCATCTAATGTAATTAATCTCTATTAGGAAATTAAGGTCAATAGTTTCTGCAAACTTGATGACTAAACACTTCAAACCTTCTTGGCGAGTTCCTTCACTTTAATAGAAGCCATTCATCTTCCTGTGTGTCTTTTCTGCTGTCTGGTTTAGTAACTAACCATTGTTCCTACTTGAATATATTATACATACAGTTGAAGTCAGAATTATTAGCCCTACTACAAGCTCTGTTTAACAGAGTGAAGATTTTCTTTCAACACATTTCTAAACATAATAGTTTTGATAACTAATTTAACTGGTTTCTTTATCTTTGCCATGATGACAGCACATAATATTAGACTAGATATTCTTCAAGACACTAGTATTCAGCTTAAAGTGACATTTAAAGGCTTAATAAGGTTAATTAGGGTAAAGTTAGTTTAATTAGGCATGTCATTGGTTTGTTCTGTAGATCAGTGGTTCTCAACCAGCTGCAGGATGGGAGTAAAAAAGACTGAAAAAAATAAATGTGCAAATTTGTGATCTTTGTTGGGATTCATCAGATCTTTTTTCGCTACTAAAATAGACCAAAACAGTCATTATTTCATCGAAAATATATAATATATTTTTAAAAACTTTATATAATATATAAAATATGCCGGAATTCCAAAGCGGTGATTTGACTGACATGAAAAGTGACCAATCACAGTCCACCTTGTCTAGTTTTGCGTGAAATGTAAGAGCGAGATAAAGGCCTTTCTGTGTTGCAATGACAGAAAAAACAACTTAAAAACAAATGTTTTATTAAAAAAGTGCTTTTCGGATGTTTTCACTATGGAGATGTCTGTGTTATTAGCAAGAGTAAATACGCCGCGGACATACTTCCTGCTGACGATCTGCACACACGTTTCATTCTTTTCTCTCCGACGGCGAGTTCACTCGCCTCTGACCTGTCAATCTTCTGAAGCCTGATTTAATACAGTCTGAATGTCGGCGCAAGGATTGCAGGTATTGCGTAATTACTAATTTCTGCAAATGTTGCGAGTGCTTTATCTTAACACAAGAGCGCAGTCATGCAAAAACTGGATATGCAAGCTCTTAAATGGGCTTTTTCAAAGGAACTGCAAGTCCTCTCATCATTGCGTGTGTGCTCAGACTGTATGCAATCGCAAAGTATAAATTATTTATCTTTGCTCCTTGACTAAATTTAGTCAAAAATTATGAAGTATTTAGAATTAGATCGATGCATGACCAATGACAATGCTAACACACTTATTTGGCTGGATAACGAAGTGAAACAGCCTACCAGAACTTTTAGGTAAAACGTTTGTATTTCTTTACGACAAAATAATTATGCTAGAAATGTTTCTGGATGAGGTATTTATGTGATTTATACAGAATAGCTGTGTCCTGATCGGTCTTAAAGCACTTAAAGAACCCTTGCTGTAGACAATCAAATCAAATATTGCTTAAGGGGGCTAATATTATTGACCTTAAAATGGTGTTTAAAAAATTTAAAACTGCTTTTATTCAAGCCGAAATAAAACAAATAAGACTTTTTCCAGAAGAAAAAAAATATATATAGGAAATACTGTGAATAATGTCCTTGCTCCATTTAATATCACTTAAGAAATATTTAAAAAAAGAAATTAATATTTCATAGGAGGGCGACTAATTTTGCCCTAAACTGTATTTACATTTCTCAGTTTGGGTGTCACCCACAGCTACTTTAGGTGGTTTGACTTGTTGACAGAAGGATTTATCAATGAAATCCACAATGAATGAGTTGAGTAGGTTGTTGGTTCAGGTCCCGGCTGGGCCAGTTGGCGTTTCTGTGTGGAGTTTGCATGTTCTCCTTGTGTTGGCATATGTTTTCCCCTGGTGCTCCAGTTTCCCCCACAGTCCAAACACATGCGCTATAGGTGAATTATTGAACTAAACTGGCCGTAAAGTGTGTATGGGTGTTTTACCAGTACTGGGTTGCAGATGGAAGGCCATCCACTGGGTAAAACAGGCGTGACCAACCCTGTTCCTGGAGATCGACCTTCCTGCATATTTCAGTTGCAACCCATATCAAACACACCTGCATGTAATTATCAAGTGCTGTTCAGGTCCTAATTAATTGGTTCAGGTGTGTTTGATCAGGGTTGGAGCTGAACTTTGCAGGAAGGTCGATCTCCAGGAACAGGGTTGAGCACCACTGGTGTGAAACATATACCGGAATAGTTGGCGGTTCATTCTGCTGTGGAGACCCCTGATGAATAAGGGACTAAGATGAAGGAAAATGAATGAATGAATGTGTAAGAGCTTGTGAAGGAGATCTATGGTCTGCAGAAAGATCTTTGTATCTATTTTAATTTTCTTAAATTATTAGTTTTGATGGGCATAAAAGATTCCAAACTAACATATAATACAGGTAAGATTAGATAGAATGCTCCGTGTGTTTCATTATATGAGTAATTATTTTACAGTTCGCTTTAATAAAAAAACAGCAAAATATTAACATCAGTCTTATTGAATCACTGTTACATAAATGTTTCATGCTTTTGTTTTATTCATAGTTATGCTAAGTCTAAAGGGTTTCAGCTTTCTTTAAATGATCTTCTTTTGTGTTCTACAGAAGAAAGAAACTCACAAAGGTTGTGACAAAAACTACATAGTGAGTAAATTTCCATTTTGAGGTGAACTGTCCCTTTAAAGTGCACCATGTAGAAAAAGAGTAATGAGGTCCTCTGCAGGACAACCAACAAACTGCATGTAAACTGTGCAGGGAAATGTCAGTATTCCTCTTTATAACTGTATTAAATGAATAAATAAATGAATAAATAAATAAATAGATAGATAGATAAATAGATAAATAAATAAATAAATAAATAAATAAATAAATAAATAAATAAATAAATACTTGAGCCTCAATAATATCTGTGTCCATTCATGCACATGCCTCTGTTGTCTAAAAGTATTACACACCCCTCACTTATAGTAAAATATTATTATTATTATTATTATTATTATTATTATTATTATTATTATTATTATTATTATTCAAGTGCTGACAACGAAATCACACAAGAATTATCAATGGAAATCAAATTTATTAACCCACGGAGGGCTGGATTTGGAGTCCCACTCAAAACTGTAGTGGAAAAACACACCACAGAGTGATCCAACTTTGATGTAATGTCCTTTAAAAGTGAAAATGAGGCTCAGTAGTGTGTGTGGCCAGTGATTGACAGTACAATGAACATGCAAAATATCTCTCACCTTGATGGAAAAGTGCTTGCTCTCATACAGAATCATTTCTTCAGTGATCAGCAGTGTTCGAGTCGGGCTACAAAGATCTACAGGCTTTAGAAAACAAAAACACACAGACATTGAATCAGTGTATATGCCAACTTTGCCTTAAAGAGACAGCTCACCCAAAAGAACATCTGTCATCATTCACTCACCCGCCACTTGTTCTAAACCTGTTTGGGTTTCTTTCTTTGGATGATTTTATTTTTATATTATTGAATATTGAAAGCTCATAACCATTGACTTCCATAATATTTTTTCTTACTATGGAAGTTAATGGCTATCGGTTTCCAATATTCATCAATATATTGCAGAAAAAAATAAAAAATTAAAACCACTTAAAAGTAAGTAAAATGTAAATTTTTGTGTATTTTTGGGTGAACTATCCCTTTAAAGAGGCTGTATGCAGAATAAAGAAACCGTTGCTATTAGTGGCCCTGAATACATTTTCAATCTGTACATCCAGCATTTTGCATTCTGACGTGCCGTGAACCCAAAAATCTTCTTTTTAATCTACCTGCCTGTCCTGTTTTCAAAATAAGAGTCCCACTTACATTGTATGTTTAAAACAATCTTAAATTTTCGCAGCTGGAAGGGAATAGTTGTCGGTCCATTCCACTGTGGTGACCCCTGATAAATAAGGGACTAAGCCTAAGGACAATCGATGGATGAAACAAGCCTAGATACACTTAAAGAGGGGGGGAAATCGGCTCATTTGATGTATATTGATGATCCCGTGTGGATCTTACTTCTCACAAACAGCCCTTTTTATCATCTAATTATCTTTGTAATTAGGAAGTATACAATTCCTGTTCACATATTTGACCCTGGAGCATAAAACCCAACTTATGTTGAACTTACAGTATTATTTATAAGAAAAGCCAAGTATACATTGTATGAGTCAAAGATACTGCACACTATTTAATGCCAAAAATCATTCAAATATCAGGTAAAGATCATCTTCCATGAAGGCATTTTGGAAAATTTCCTCTTCACTCAACCTCCATTGTAAACATAACATTTATTTATCACTCTGTTGACATGTCAACAAGTTGTGTTTGTAAAATACAGAAAATACACTAGAACCTGATGCACTTGCAATGAGAGTCAATATGGTTTGTGTTGAATTTTTTTATTTTTTTTTGGGCTGCCAAAAGGATTGTGCGTGAAATTTGCAATGTTTATTTTGCTAGCGCACATTGCTATTCTTTAGGTGAGCAAATATTCAATGCAAGTTAATCCACTGAAAATGATTTATTGTTATAGTAAACTCCAATTCTGTGTTCTGTTGACATCAATTTGACGTCCTTAGCCACGCCTCTTTTACTGTTAGTTTGCTACTAAGGAATGATGTGCAAAAAGAAAAGCCCCGCCCCCTACTTAATATTCCATTTCAGTTGGAAGTACATTAGCATACTGAGGTAAAAGTCTCCTCAACTTCTGACTTTAAACATATTAGGCTTCATATTCATATTCCTATCCATATCTCCACATGTTGCTGATTATGTGTAACTCATAAAAATAATAATACAATTAAAGGAGTTTCAATTTCCAATAATCTTTTACAAAAAAAAAAGTTTGGTACTCTGTTGTCTTATTAAATACAGAATCTGGGTCATGTGACCAAACCAATATAAGAAATCAGTGTTTAGTTGAATGTCTGTGCTCATATTAAAAACAGAAACATTTACCTGAACGAAAATGGGGAAGATGAGGACTTTGGGTGTCACTTTGACGTAGGTGCTATAGTTGGCATGGGGCACGTGTGACCTCACAATGGTGCAGTTCTGGTAGTTGGCGAAGTTTGACGTGTTTTGGTAGATTTGCTGTGTTTTGGATTTGCTGTTTCCAGAGCGACGCAGAAAACACGTCCTGCTAGCGAGGCCCGGTGCTGACTGCGCACTAGCAGCCGGAGGCAGTGGAACAGACGTCTGAGCAGCAGGGTACATCTGGCCAGCTGGAAAAAAAAGCAACAGAAAAAAATATTGTAGCTGAGATATTACAATGCAATCTCACAGCAATTCCTCACTTTTTAATTTAGTGGCTAATTCGTATGAATTCGTATGATCTAATTTATACAATTTAGTACGATTTCCTCATCACCTAATGAGTGTTGGGTTTAGGGGCAGGGTTGGTTGAAACGCCTCCACTTTAAAATCTTACATTTTCATACGACTGAACTCGTAAGAATTTGGACGAATTAGCCACTAAACTGATAAAACGTAAAATACTTAAGTTTTTTCATGAGATCAGGCTGGATATTACATATTAGATTTTTGTTAAATTATTGTTAACACTTTATGTTAAGTCACAATTCATGCGATTAACAAACCATTAACTAAAACTAGTAGCTCAATAAATTACTAATTAGCTGCTTATTAATAGATAGTAATAATAAGGAAGTAGTTAGGTTTGGGTAATTGGTAGGATTAGGGAACCAGTTCTTATCTTATTAATGAGCAGGTATTACGTTAGTAGTTACAGTGGCATAGCGGCATAGCGCAAAATGCGGGGGCCCCCTACAGGTGTTATTGACCGGGGGGTGGGGAGGGGGGATTTGCAGAGCGAACACAAACAGAACAGCGGGGAGGGGGGTTGGGGGGGGGTCGATGGAGCGATCACAAACTGAAGACCGGGGGGGGGGGGGGGCTTAATTATTAATTTGGTTACCTAATGAATAGAATATTTAATATTACTATCTTAGACTGTACCCTAATTTCTGTACCATATTTCTGCAATAGTGGCTGAACTACAGCATAAACTGCTATGACAATGATCCAACCCGGGCTCATTGTGGAAACGTAGCCCCGCGGACGTTTCTGCAGACCGCGATTTACATCCCGGGAGGTACGTATTCGAGCGGTTTTTGTTTTTCGCGGATACGCGAGAGGCCGCTGTGCGCACTTTTACGGGTCTCGGGCGCCTCTCGGGAGCGCTCGCCGTTCGCGCCCGCACCGTTCTCGCGCGAAAAGCCGCCGGATCGGCCGACACGGCCGCCCTCCTCTTCCTCCTCCTCCTCCTCTTTCCCTAAACCCGAGCGACTGTTCGCAAAAGCCGTCCAGAAAAAAAAAAAAAGCAAAAGCCCTCATCTTCGATTTCGATTTTTCGTCTTACCTGATTTCCGGAACCGCTGTTCCCCGGACTCGATCCCGGTCGTCGTCCCCGCGGCCGGCTCCTCCTCCAGGCCTCCGCTCCGCCGACGCAACGCTGTGAGCTAAGCAGACAAACTGGTTGCATCGGGAAAGCCCTCCACGAGCCGTCGGCCGGCGAGCGCGAAGAGGAGGGGCGGAGCGGCGCCACGCTGCCCCGCAGCATTCGCTCGAAAAAAACAAAACGCGGCCTTACGTACCTCCGGCCACGTAAATCGCGGTCTCCAGAAACGTCCGCGGGGCTACGTTTCTAGAATGAGCTTGGGTTGCAACGATCAGCTCAGGTGCTTTATTTAGTATTAAATGTTACCAGTCTTAGTTTGAATACCATTTACATGACATTGATTGCTAGTAAACACTTTAATAAACAGATATTAGGGAACTTACTTAATGTTCTGTGTGGGTCTCCAGAGCCCAATACCTGCATTTTGTAGAAGAATAATGAGAGAAAATTACATTTAAAAAACATTATTATTATTAAACATATTTAAATAATCGGTATTGGCGGATAATCACATTTTATAACTCGATCGGTACTTGCTCATCTG